AGTGGGTGGTTTGTGATTAGTTTGAGTGTCATAAGAAGCATTCACAGGTCAGTTGAATAAATGTTACTTTTTTTTTGAGAGTTCAATTTAAACAAGTATTATTTATTATTTTTGCATTTTTATGTATTTTTTTTTGTTTGTTTATTCTATACTTTATAACATGTGCATTCTACTGTATTTAACAAAAATCGTTTTATGCTGTGAACAACGCAGATAAAAAGTAAATTAATGCTGTCTTTTGTGCTGGGATTTTAATTTTTGGTATTCAGAGCGTGCATTAGGGCCTTGTTGAATCTTTCCTACCGTCACTGGGCGAATATCCTAGCAAACAAATGATCAGTCTAGAGATATTGGCTCAAAATATCAACTATAGCTGAGTAGCCTCCCGAACGGGACCTCAGTACCTGCTGGTGAAACTGGCTAACTAACCAATAACTCTTCAGTATTGAATGTGGTGTGTGGAATTAAAATTTTAGCATATGGAGGGTATTAAATTCAAAATATTATCAACTTACAATTACAATTATTATTAAAGTGTCACAGTATGTTTTGATTTTTGAGGAATGGAGATCGAGGGTTTCTCTGCCGTGGTCTTTCCCCTCGTGAGTTCCAGGTTGAGAACGGTACGATTTTCTTTAATAATAAGACGTTTCACAAATTTTTCATTAATTTTACATATCATAACTCTCCTCAAATTTACCTAATTTTGCTATTGTCGGGCGCATTTCAAGTAAGTAAAATTGAGTTTCGACAACGTAGGTCCTATTTGTTTTTCATTTCGTTTTTAAGAAGATTGGTTAAAAGAAGGGATAGGTAATAAAAATTCAAACCGTTTAATCCTGCTGAACGAACCCGGGTATGTTATACTACAATACGAAAGATTTTAGGCTATTAGACCCAAAGACAAAGAAAATAACACACAGCAGAGATGTGGTTTTTTTGAGAACAAGAGTAAAAATGAAAAAATACCCAGGGAAACAAAACCCGAGACAAAGCCTGCAGAATGAGATGGTTTAGTAGTATGGCCTATGCAAAACAAAAAGGTTTTTATGGAAGTGACTCGGAGAGTGGAGACAGTTCTGAACAGGACAACTTAGTACCCGCCGACAATAGTGAATCTGAGGATTTACATGATGAAACTGAAAAAATGCGAGAATGTCAAGAACCGATAATTACAACAGTTGGAAGGCAGGTAAATAGACCACAACACCTGGAAGATTATGAGATATATGCTGCCTACGACACCATTGAGTCTCAGGATGATCCTCAAACGTTTGCTGACGTTCAGGAATCTGTTAGGTGGCAAAATGGAATAGCAAGTGAGCTACAGTCACATAATGATCTTCAAACTTGGACTGTATGTAAACTTCCAGAGAACAAATCAACCATTGATATCAGATGATGGGTACTTAGAACCAAAGAAGATGATTCGAAAAAGGCACGGTTAGTAGCTAAGCGGTTCCAGATTAAGGAGGAGAATCCTTCTGGTACTGAATACTCCATTTGCAAGGTTGTCGATCATATGGAAAAATCTGATGAAGTCCTTACAGAAGAATGGTTGGATCATTGATGTACCTACCTAGCATGCACTCATGACCAGATATCATGTGTGCATTATCGTGTCTCAGCAGGTACATGGACAGCCCGGAACAAGCTTTATGGACAGCTGGAAAACGAGTGTTACGCTATCTCAAAACACCATTGAAACAGGACTGGTGTATAGCAGAAATGGGCCGGGCTCAGTGGCATATTCGGATGTAGCCTGGGCTGGTGATAGAGCTGACAGAAAGAGCACAGCAAGCTTCGTCATATACTGGAGCATCCTGGTGTCAGAGGTGCACTGGTGAAGCCAGGAGGAACTAGGAAACTGGGCGAAATATTATGAAACAATAGTTAAGAGGAGTCCGATAGGTCCCAGTAGAGAGCACCTCTACTGGGACCACTGCTGTATCTATATTAGCGATTCAGCCATAAACATTGGAGAAGCAATATTATTTGCTGAGGTTTATTCAACAATACCACTAAACCATATATGCTAACCAGAACCACCATCATGCGAAACTCAAGGAAGATCTCAGTGTGGCCGAGAAACGATCCAAGGCATGGAAGATGAAGTTGAACTGTTGAATAAGAAACACTATTTTCAGTATATCTACAAATACCATATCCGAATCACATCTACATTGAGTAGCACAATTCTGCAACATAAAGGTTCAGAACCTTCCTTGGTAATAAATAAATATCAAAAGGAAGACATGTTTCCAAAATGGTCAAAATGGCTAATTCTTGTACTGTATGCTTAAAGGAGATGAGCAATTTACAACCCAACCTTGTTTTTTAGGAAAAAGATTGTGTCATAATAGTTGCATTACGACATTTTACCTTTACGCGAAGGTGAAGCATACCAAAAACGTAACAATTATTGGGTACATATACACTCCTGGACATAAAAAACCGGACAAACAAAATTTTGTTGAATTTCAATCCTAAATAATTTTCCCAATTTTGCATCGAAATTGATCATTTTTTGTCAAAGATAAACGCGCCTACGTTTATCTTGATCATTGTTTAATATTGTGTTTACAAAAAGTTCGAATGGATTTGGTGTTATACAGGGTGGAACCATAAGTTGCATTTGGTCCCAAACTTCTGAACACTCTGTGGAATAACTCAACGACACAATCATGCGTATTTGCAGGACATTCTTAAGCCTTATCATTTCTTAACATGTCTTTTTTCAATTCATATCAATATCTTCAATCTCAAAGGAAGCACAAGTTCTTAAAGTAGCAATGCAATTTATACCAATAACAAAAATTAAACACATTACAGATAACTTTAACAAATAAACAAACACTAATATTGGGTATTACCTCCATGTGCTCTAATAACTGCTGCCATGCGACGTGGTAATCTCTCAATACAATTGGCAATAGCTCTTTGCGGAATGTTTTCCCACTCTTCGAAGATCTGGAATGATTTCCGGTTGTCGACTGCGAATTAGCCTCCCTAACATGTCCCACACATGCTCAATCGGCTTCAGATCAGGGCTACGTGGAGGCCAGTTTAATCGTTGAATCCCTGCTTCATCAAGATAATTACTGACAACTGTTGGGACATGAGGCCTGGCATTGTCGTGCATCAATGAAAAATTTTCCCCAACAAATGGAGCAAAAGGAATAACGTGGACCGCTAAACATTCCTCAATATAACGGTTAGCAGTTTAAGCGCCATTTTCGATAAAAACCAGGGCAGTACGGACATAAACAAAGCCACTTATTGGCCGCAAGATGCCATTTTGCACGACAATACATGTAAAACTGATTCCAACCTGCAGGGACACGGCATTTTGTGACCAATCAGGGACAAGCGGTATTGTTTACCTTCCAAAGTTTTCAATGTCCAAATCCATCTTGAGGAAAAATACACTTTAGAAGTGTTTATTTTCGTTTGTTTCTTTATCATAAGTGTCAGTGTATCCTTATTCAGAGGATGAATTGTTTTTCAATATGCGATCCGAAGATGTTGCACGAGCTGTTGCATTGAATGATGATGGACGTGATATACGCTACATCGCTAATGTGTTGGGCAGAGCCAGAAGCACTGTACATGATGCAATTTGTCGCTTTCGTCAGACTGGTGAGTACACACGACATCTATAGGATCTGGGAGACCCCGCGTCTTAAGGTTAACCAGCGAGATGATCATTTTATTACTGTAGCTGCTTTACGAGACCGAGAAGTAACATCTGCTGTTATTAGTCCATTAGTGTACGTGGCACAAGAGCTTTCTGGACAAACCGTTTTCCGTAGACATGAACAAGGATTGATGTCAAGGAGATCGGCTGCTTATCCAGCTTCACAAGCAGCCCATCGTACTCAACGGTTAAATTTTGCCCGTGTCCATAGAGAGACTGGAATGACGGAGAGTGGGGATGTGTCACCCGATGGACGAGAGCCTGTATGGCGAAGACGGGGAGACGAGTGACGATTTTCCTACTGTTGCATTTCTCCAAGAACACCTTTTGGAGACGGTAGTATCATGGTGTGGGCTGGAATTACACCTCACGCCCGTACTGCCCTGGTTTTTATCGAAAATGACGATAAAATGCTAACCGTTATATTGAGGAATGTTAAGCGGTCCACGTTATTCCTTTTGCTCCATTTGTTGGAGAAATTTTTTCTTTGATGCACGACAATGCCAGGCCTCATGTCGCAAGAGTTGTCAGTGATTATCTTGATGAAGCAGGGATTCAACGATTGGACTGACCTTCACGTAGCCCTGATCTGAACCCCATTGAGCATGTGTGGGACATGTTAGGGAGGCTAATTCGCAGTCGACAACCGGAAATCATTCCAGATCTTCGAAGAGCTCGTCTCGAAGAATCGGAAAACATTCCGCAAACAGCTATTGCCAATTGTATTGAGAGATTACCACGTCGCATGGCAGCAGTTATTAGAGCACATGGAGGTATTACCCAATATTAGTGTTGGTTTATTTGTTAAAGTTATCTGTAATGTTTTTAATTTTGGTTATTGGTATAAATTGCATTGCTACTCTAAGAACTTGTGCTTCCTTTGCGATTGAAGATATCGATATGAATTGAAAAAAGACATGTTAAGAAATGATAAGGCTTAAGAATGTCCTGCAAATACGCATGATTGTGTCGTTGAGTTATTCCACAGAGTGTTCAGAAGTTTGGGACCAAATGCAACTTATGGTTTCACCCTGTATAACACCAAATTCATTCGAACTTTTTGCAAACACAATATTAAATAATGATCAAGATAAACGCGCCTACCATTTGACAAAAAATTATCAATTTCGATGCAAAATTGGAAAAATTATTAAGGATTGAAATTTAACAAAATTTTGTTTGTCCGGTTTTTTATGTCCAGGAGTGTACTTACACAGTTTTAAAACATATATTAGCATAGAAATAAAAGTAACTGAACTTAGAGGAACAGAGCCCTTAGTAGGTTATATAAAATATAAATTACCCAATCAATGCTTCCACCTTCCATATATCCATGTGTGACAACGAAAATTGGTTTTTCAGGTTCTATATCTGAATTTTCAACATATTCAAACTCGTTTACGTCAATAACACTTGGTTTCATTCGATTTTTTCTGGTGTAGAGAAAATAGTTTGGATCGATCTAAAAGTGCAAATTTATACCTTTACGTTATTTTATTGACTTTTGCCTAAGTGATATATTTTACCTCATCAAGATCATCTGGGAATAATGAAACGGGCCTATGTTCTGACGTCCAAGGAGGTGACAATTCGAAACAACCATAGATGCCATAACATTTTTTAGCGTTTGTTTCTAAAATATTTTTTTTGTTTAGTGCTGGGTTGGTAGGAAAAATAGTTAGCTTCCAATAGTTACTATGATTTGGAAAAAAAGGCGCATAGGAAATTAAGCCTCATAAGTAAAATTAACGTTAAAATGCCCTACCTTTTCCAATTTTCATGTAGTAATAATTATAGGAACTTTCATCTTGTACAATACTTTGATTCAAAACATATATTAAAGTCTGAAATATAACAGACGAATTATTAGGTATCACTGCCACCATATTTGATAAATTATAATTGCAAATGCGAAACTAATCACTAATATTTCTGCTCATTATTGACGTACTAATTGGAACCTAACAAATAAAACTAACTGAAAATTCAAAGCAAATCCTTATTCTTATCTTCGAGGTTAAAGTCCATAGGTCATTTAAGAGGTCCTAATAAGACAAAATTTTATTATTAACGTGATAAGGGTTGTCTGCAACAAAATGTGACAAATTTATCTGTTGCGATATTAAAATTTTGAAAGTCCGCTTTAGATAAGAAAATGTATATTGACGTGTTTTGGGAATACTCACAGTCATATTATTTTGCAATTTATTATTATTATTGTTTTTGATAATACTGGCACATTTCTGTATTATCTATTCAAGCCATTTGTCGGAATAACCCGTACAAATTTTCCTATCTCTTCACACCAACATTCTGATATAGTGACACGCTCTTCCTCTAGGAGAAAAAAAGCCGAGGATACCCTGGAATCCCATGTGTAAGGGAATTGAAAAACACTGAAGTGCTAAGTTTTGTTGGCAATTGACTGATTGGTTTGGTCAACGAAACAGCACACCTACAGAAATGCATATTTATAACTACTTTGCTGAGCAAAGTATCTATAAGTTTTAACCGTGCATGAAGGGGTTTTGTACATCGATATCGTCGTAGCCATTTTCATTGCTGTTCTCTATCCAGACCGGACCAACCTACTAGATACATAGGAAGTAATAAGACGAATTAGCTTGTACCCGGTTTAGGCGAATCGAAGCGGTGCTGCCAAAGCCGGGTGAACTGAGCTGTCAAAGATGCACGAATTTTAATAACATGTAGGGACGATCAATGATCCACCATGCAGTGAAATGAGTATCGGTCAACTGGTCATATTGCATGTGTCTAGTAGCCTGGTCCTGTCTGTATTATAAGTATGTATACCTACCTAAATGAATTTTTCTGACCGGTGCAGGCTGCAGTTTTTTTTGGTACGGTGCCACTGTGCCGTTCATCGTCACTGGAAAAAATCCCCAACGCTTCTCAAGAGACTGGGTGGAAAACTGGTTTCCTGGCGAATCGTGATAAAGGAAATTCCCTTCATGATCCCAAGCTGCTTCTTGTTCTTATGTCCTGACTGCTGCAGCCGCACGACGACAAGTTGTACGAAAAGAAAGTAACTATAGGCAGCAATCATGAGCTAGGCTCCTGGACTGAAAATGGCTACTCATACCAAATTCCAGCAACAGAAGATCACAGCCACGATCTAGATGTAAAGTTAGAGAAATATCATCAGGTAAAACGTCACAATAAATGATTTAGAATAAGTCAACGTGATGAAAAGATACAAGATAGAAGAACCTTTCCCTGTAGCTGAAGAACTAGAATATCAGGTGCGGATATTTATTATGACTACGTTAGAAGACGTAAGTGATTACCTACGTTAGATAAAATGGCTCGATTGAATTTTTTTATTTTTCCACCTCATTGCCATCAAAATTTACATTTTTTCTCATAACGGGTTCCTTACCCAAGCAGCGCTTTTACGTCCTAACAACGTCGTCATTGATGTCTTGACGTTAGGCGCGAGGCATAACTAATTTTCAACTTATACGTCAGCATACACAACCAGATTTGAACGTTTACTAAACGTCGTAAACCATGACTAACCTAAAAACAAATACCAAACCAAATAAAGGACGTTCTAGGTTTAATATATTGCACCAAATTCGCACTTTTGGTTTATTATTGGTGTTTATTTTATTTCCCAACTCATGACATTAAAAACAAAAATGAATAGGTACCTATAGGAATATTGGGGAACGTAAAATAATAATGGCGCCTGGCCTTGTCAACAATAAAATACGTGAAACTAAATATTTAGCTCCTGTAGGCACAGAAATTTCAAACGGAGTCAACTTTTCTGTCAAATATAATTATGGATATGCACACAAAAACAAACGGGCTCCTCTATTTTGTTAATATTTTCCAAAATAAAAATAATAAATCTGTAATTTACAGAATTTCTTATATATTTTCGATGGGTCAAAAACATCTTTGGGCAATAATTTTGACAAAATTTCCTTATAAAGGATTGATTTTTGAGATATTATTTATTTTTATTAAACGTGCATCAATGGCGGATGATTAGATAGGACCTTGCGATATATAAAATGGTAGAGTTAATAATCTGCACCTTATCCTAACCTAATGCGTGTTTTCGTCATGAAAATGGACTGAATCTATATACCTAAACATAGGCCCATAGGTAATAAAATAGTATAAACATATAAACCTAGATTGACTTTAGGTCCCATATGGTAAACTATCGTAACCAGTTCTTTAGGAGCTTCAACGCTCTCATTTATTTGGAATTTTTCAGGAAACTTCAAAATCTTCAAATATTTCCTTTTAACCCGACATTTATTGAATCTTTTTCAATTCCCTAATTGAAAATTACACGGTTCTCTCCCAATTTACCTTCTTGCTCCATTTCCTTCATGTTTGGAATACATTTCTCCCTCTCACTAAATCTAATTTTTTTTTTTTCTTTTTTTGTAAATTTTGCAATATGTGGATGAGTATTTGAAGCTCCTGTTTTGTCCCATATTATATCAAAAATACGAAAGCAAATACTTATCCAAATTTTTAAAAACTTTTTATAGTAACGCCATATCTATTGTTTGTTTATGTTTTTATTTGACTGATGACAGTTTATTAATGAACGACGCCAAAAGTATGAAATGCTACACCAAATTTTACCTGTGTCCAATTTTAACGTTGGCCGGACGTTTTGCTAAGACTTCTATCTGACCTTATGATTGATCGTGTCAGACGACGTTTTTAAAACGTTTCAGAGGTCACAAGATATGAAGATAACGAAGGATTGACGTCTTCAATGCAACGTTGAATTTGGTACAATATTATGACGTCCACTTTACGATTTTCATCTTACCTTATGATTGGTCGTATAAGACGACGTTTAAAAAACGTTTCGGAGGTCACAAGTATACAAGAGGACGACGGATTGACGTTATCAATTTAACGGTTAAACTGGTTTCCATTTATTACGTCAAAATTGAGCTAGATAAAGGTCCGATTTCTTGACCACATATTAAGGACGACGGCACGACGTAATTTCAACGAAAAATAATTGACGGTTACTTATCTGCACTTCTAGCGACGTTGTATTTGGTAAAAACGTGGTCGCAGGGACATGTATGTGCTACTTGGGTAGGTACGGCTTTCATGTTCGTCTATATCTCATCAAAATAGTTATTTATATGTAAAGTAGGAGATACAACTCCTGAACTCTGACACACGCCCCTCAGTTTGCAAGTAAACCGAAGTTAGCGTTCCAGAAGCGATAATTAATCGTCTAGACACTACTAATCAGTGGACACTTATATTTCCAATTAAGGAAACTATCAAAATTCAGTGTTTTGGTCAAGAAGAAGTCCAAAACGTCATATGGACACACATTTGCCAAATTCCTATGGGATGCAGAGCCAGCACAAACTCAAAACTGGTTATCAATGAACAAAAGCTAATTAGTCCAAAATCGGCAACCTATGTTGTTCCCCGATTTTGCGATTTTGCAGAAACGCCAACAACACTACCACTTTTGAATTTAAGTCGTCACCTTCACAATTTGAAGCTGGATGACCTCCATCAGTTAAGATATAAAATCTCCGAAATTCAGCCTCATCTTAGCTTCAACCAAATTACTAGAAGTTCAAGTATCTGGACCCTGCTTCTGTAGGGGTCATCAGTGTTGCCAGGTCTACTGATTTATCAGTAGATCTACTGATTCGGCCATTGGTCTACTGATATACTGATATCAATGTGAATTCTACTGATAAAAGCCGTTATCATTATTTATCCGCTTTTTTTGATATTTTTTAAATTAAAATCATGTATTAGAATGTCACAGCAACAATTTCATACACGACCTTTGGGCTAGGACTGCTAGGAGTATCCTCTGAACTCCGATCAGTCCGGTGTGGTTTGTATTGGAACATTTGAACGCTCGCAGTGCAGGCGCTGCACTCAGCCTAACTGGGGAATCCCCGGCGTTCGTGCGTGCTTGTGTTGTGTCTTGTTCACTTACCTATGCTGTTATTGATTAGTCGTAAGTCAATTGGTCACACAACGTTATACTGTACAACTAACTGCAGCCTGTTTCACCTGCTTTTATCAGAGACTAGACTACTGCATAGGCATTGCATATTAAATAGGAATATCTAGAATATCTCATGTGTCTTAATCTCAATAAACTATTTCTGATAAGTAGTATTGTTGTTTGATTTTCCAATGCAAGTTTTGATAGTCTAATGCACATTCTAGTAATTTATAGATTTGAAGAAATGTTACTAACATAATTAATGAGTATACCCTAATGGTTTACCCCTTTAACTAGGCAACTTATCTGTCTACTGATTTCTACTGATATTTAGACTGGTAGTCTACTGATAACACAAAATATGACCTGGCAACACTGGGGGTCATTGCCATTTGCTGCCTGGTTGCCATCCACAAATATATGATGCCCCTCTTCCAAAACAGAAGAAAGAAGAACGATGCCCCCGCAATTGAAGTCCAACTACCCCGTCAAGCGTAGAGTTGGAAGTTAAGGAGGGAGGAGTTATGTCAGTAATAGGCGCTGACTAAACAATAAACTTGCTTACTGTGCTTTCCACCTTTATACATGTGAGTAATTTCTCGACAATGTTAAGTTAGTCAGTTGAATTTTATTGCAACGATTAAATTTTTAGAGTTAAGTCTTGAATTTGTAATTCTTAAGTCAGAAATATTTTTTTTTAAAAACGTTAACCCGGTCTTTGGTAAGTGTTAACTCGTGTTTTCCGGGACACTCAGGCTTCCGCTTAAAAACTAGAAATTTTTAGTTAGTTTGCTCACATCTTTATATTTGTATTTACTCGCGTGCGGAAAGTTGCACTTTTTAGCACTCAATTCTCTTTACACACTGTAAATTAGTGCAGGAAAGGATGGAGGATAAGGAAAATCAGGCTTTTTGTGTGATTTTAGATAAATAAAAAAAAAGGAAAAGGGTAGGTTCTTTTTTTTTTGTTCCAAATTAAACTTTTCTTCGTTTTTTCTTGTTTTTCTCTAAATTTT